AAGTGAGCATGGCTGTTGTGGCTCCAAGAAGTAGTTCACTTACGGCTGGAATAAAGTGTGGGAGCTGGGATGTGGGCCCAGGGGGACTGGAGGACTCAGCAGGGGCTGCTCCTTGCAGGGTCCTGTAAGCTGCTAGTGAGCTTGGCCTTCACCTGGGAGCTGAGGGGAGCAACTCGAGTATCTGATACCGGGGAGAGATGAGGCCAGAACGTCCCTTCAGGAGGTCACCATAGGAGCAGCTTTCCCCAGTCCCTGTGGTCAGCACCTCCCGTGTAGGGTGGTAGGGAGGCAGGAGGGAGGTGATAGTTAATACCCAGTGTTTTATACCCTAAAAGGCAGCATCTGGATGTTCAGGGGCCTGCTATACTTGGGTGTGGCAGGAGTGGCATTCTGAGAAAGATGGTGGGACCTGATTAATTAGGAATTTGTGATACTTGGACAAAGCTGGGCCTCAGGCCAGCGTACTTTGGATTTTCTGTAAAGTACAGGTTTATGTGTGCCAAGATGGCAAAGGTCTTATTTGGTATGTCAATGGAATGGACCTTTTCAGAGTTCCTTTATCTGTTTTCTACATGGAAATTAATGATTATGTAGGAATTTTACTTGTTCAGAGTAGGCCGACTTCACTTCATAGTGAGTGAGTCGTAATGGGAAACTTCAGTTTACTTAGAATTAAATGATACGTAATAGCCAACAGTGGTTCAAAATGCATCATTGGTTGCACAGAACAGCTCTGTGGTATATTACCTTTTTTCCACAAATGGAGTCACTAAATCTTAGAGAGTGGGAGCCTGACCTTTAAACAGACGAGCTTGCATCTCATGTTTTCCCATTTCATTGCATTTTTTCTAAGCCACTCTTCATACATAAGACTAATACAATTGCATGCATTTAAAATATTTCATAACTATTGTTCCCAAGTGTAATCAGTCTCCCTTCATTTGGACCTATTTGGTTAGGTTCAAATGCACAAGATGTCACATTATTGAAACTTTAAACACACCATTCTTTCTGTAATGCCTGTTTCTCAGTGTTCCTGGTTCATCTCAGTATTAAAAACCTCTGGATGTGGACACAAAAGTTCGTATTTATTAAGTCATTTTATGTACTTAATAGTATCCCAGGCAGTTTGCCACGTCCTCGTGAATCATTGTGACCCATCCTCCAAGGTAGGTGTAGCGGTCTTGTCCTGTGGAACCACAGCTCAGAAGCTGAGGGGGTTGTGCAAGGCCACCGAGCTGGTGAGTGCTCAGGGCAGGATCTGAACCCGTATCTGCTTCAGAGCCTCTCCTGTTCGTAGCATCTCCTCTGCCTTTAACTCCATAGTCCTGCCTGCTTCTCACCCGTCTAGACATTCATAAGCCCCCTCCTGGCCAGTTCAGACGTTTCAGTCATTGTACTTGTGAGATCAAGGGTGTGGATGGCTTTGAGTCTGGAGACACCCCTTGTCTTGGTCAGAGTACAGATGGAGCATCATAGATCCATTTGTATTCCCACAAGAAAAGCCAGATGTAGGGCATGCTTTCTGGAAGGGACGTCAGACTCAGTTTTTGTCTCTGAGAAAGCCCAAGCCAGCAGTCACTCCCCCTGACCCCAGCTTGGATGGATAGACGGGATAGACAGACAGTCCTGGGGAGGGTGAGCGCTTTGTGGTGGTTATAACCCCTTAATTGGCTGGAGGGGCCATGACAACCCTATTCATTTTAAAACCCAGGACCCTGGACCCATGTCTTTCTCAGGTTTTAGACCCCTTCAAGCTATTTTGGAGCTGCAAGGGAAAACTGTTTCTTTGCAGCAATGTAGAAGGCCTATTACTCTTGCTCTCTGGTGTCATCACAGGAGACATTTATTGAATTTCACCCTTTGGACCAATGGCACAGGAAATTCTCAGAGGTAATAATCACGACTGAGAGTTTGGATTTAATCAGGATGTTGTTAGCTGTTCTACAGTAATGACACAGATCACCAGAGGACCCTCAGGTTTGCCCGCTCTTAAATTATTCCACTGAGAATCTAATGTTCTTGCCTATGAACTAGTGAACGAGGGGACCTTTTCAAGGGGATGATGGTCAGTGACTTAAGGGAGAATATCTGCCTGTGACTTTTGTAATGTTATGATAATTTGAAATTGTGATGCAATTATCGAAAATGTTTACATTCCTTCCTGTTGTTTGATGTGATTCTTTTATTTTTTTTTCTCATTTATAATGCTTTCGTACTCAGGAAGTTGAGGTAGGTTTTTGACTTTTCAACTGTGTGTAGACATAGCATCGAAATAGTTGCCAAATAAAATGTAAATTTCACTCTGAATCCTAAATCTCTGTGATAAATATTTGTTTTAGTTCAGTGAACCAGCACTGCATACATTTATTTTTCAGTGGTATATCCAGGGGATGCAATTTATCAGATGCATATAAACAGTCCATTTGCTGCTTTATCTTTTCCCATTAGTTACAGTGCAAGTATGATTGTCAGTTATTATCTGTGTTTTACTGGTGGCTTATTTATTGAAAAAGCAGAGCAACTGACATTGTTATTGTCTAAATCATTTCGTCTGAGGCCTGCAGGACTTTATACCAAATGTCAGACCAATTTATCAAAGAATCACTCTATTCAGGAAGAAAGTGATTTAGAGTGTCTATATAACATACACCCACCTGTCCTTACACACACAGCAAGAGCAGTTATGGGCAATTCACGTGGATACAGAGATGTTAAAGTTGGAACATCTGATTTAGATTATATGCAGTCTAAGTAAGGACTTACTGTGTACTGTTGAGTGATGCCTTGGGGGACTATGCAGGTGAGTAAGACCCACCACTGCTCAGAAGTCACCTGGCCCAGGTGTATGGCTATGATACGTGCACATGGGAATGTGTGAATGCCCTGTGCACCAGTCCTTGGTGTACAGGGTTCTCAAGAGTGCGGTCTGTGATGGGATTGCTGGGGTAGGGGGCTCAAGCCACTGCTCAAGCTGGGCTGGTTGGTTGAATGCTTCATTTGGAAGGATTCTCACTGGGGCTCTTCACCAAGGATGGGAAGGACAGGCCTGACTGAGAGGAGACTGACAGCACATTGCTTGCCCAGAAATGTGACCAGAAATAGCTCAGAGGTGAGGTGGTGTCTGGGAAGCTAGCCCCTTTCCTTTCCTGATGGGTTTGTTTTATATCTCCTGACAGCATGATAGGTAGGGATTTCCAGTGCACACAAATTAAAATTGCAGACAAATTTCACCTTATACAGGGGATGCATGTGTATAATGTCATCTGGGAATCTCACATGTCCAGTGACTTCTATTACCATTTCAGGGACACTCATCCTGCCTGCCAGACAGCCCTCCTTCCCATTCTCTCCCGACAAGTAGAGTGAAAATTAACTAGTTGGTACTAAATCCTTTTGAGAGCAGTTTGCCTATAGTCCCTTAATTGATCTGTCTGTAAAGGTTTTGGGTTCGATAAAGTGGGATTGACCTCCATCTAGGAACTGTGAACGTGACTTTAGTCCACCTGACCTTGGTATTGATAAATCCCTTTTGTATTTATCTGCAGGGGGTCTTAGATGACCCCAAAGGGGCTGCCTGCCCTCGCTCTGCCTTACTTCCTTCTATACACGTCTCCGTTGCTCAGTCCTGGTTGAGACAAATGAGGCTCCCATTTATTTTCTAGGCTGGTAATTTGTATTATCTCAGGTAATCTTCAGATGAAGCTGCAGTGTTCAAACAACTTAGCTGAAATATGTATGAAGGAGACATGATCTGTTCCATGGGAGCAAAGTGTCTTTGATCTGCAGTATCTAAAGCTGTAAGGTATATAATAAATTGCATCATCATCTTTGTAAGTGGGAGTAAAGCAGGCGGATTTCAAAAGTGGTTTCCATGTGATTATGCCATTCCATCTCTTCCCCAGAGTTGCTTTGACATTCTTGGAGCTGAAATAAACACCTCCGGAAAGGCAAACCCTTGGGGAATATTTGAGCTAAATTGCATCAGCCATTTTGGGGCTATGGGACAGTGGAAGAAAAATTCAGTTTCCCATTCAAAATTGGCTGTGACATCCATGATGAAGAGGCTTAATCATGGTAAATTATGGCAGGAATGTTGTTGCCTCATTTCATGGTAGGGAGGCTTTAAAGTTTTTCTTGGAATATGCATTATAGAGCAGAATGTTCTTTGGCATATACGTATATATGTACATCTATATGTTACTAACATGGATAAATGGTATATCCTTATTAATATCTATTAGATAATACCCAATATGTGTTATACATGTATGTATTTTAAATAAATTTCCCTTTCCAAGAATGCTTATCAAAATAGTGTATCTCTAATGTTGTTGAAAACTCAGAGGTAAGGTCCTTTGTACCAGCCGCTGGGTGCCAGTAATTTCACAGGATCCAGTATTATGTTAGTAGATTATTTATTTAGTGAGATAAAGATGATTTTATCTATATTGATCAGCTGTGGAGGATTTAAAACAAATATTTCGGGTCATGATCATTCCCATGATTCTTCCTCTGCCATCAGTACCACCCCTGCCTTCCTCATTTTTATGATTTGTCACTTTCCTATTGTGATCTGTAGGCTGACTTTTGATGTTTTTTTACTATGACTTTATTGTAACTTGAGATGTTTCATGATTTTGGACATAAGTCAATATGTTCAAATTTGAGACTTTTAAAATTTACAAGTTCTTCCAGATTTTAACAGTCCCTAAAGAGTTGGGTAATTTTCATTTTTGAAGTGGTACAGTGAAATGGAATCAGCCTTCCTCATATGGTTAGAATTTAGAGGAAGACTGTTCTCTGCTCTGTCCAATAGAGGCTTGACATAATTAGCTTGTGCTGTGTAGCCCATGAAATACACATGGATAGTAACATGGCTGTCCTTCATTCCTCATCCTGTAGAATGCACTAACAGGAGTTAATGAATATAATAAATGACCATATTTAGGTATGCATCTTTCTATTAAGGTGTATGTTTTAAAAAATGAACTGTTACTGGGGTCCTTGCAAGTCATTTTTAAAAGCATCATCACTAGATGGTAAAATTATCAGTTAAGATACCAACTAAGACAGATACACCTCTCCTGGCAACTGTGGTCTGAGACATTCCACATATCTTCTATCACAGTCTGGATTTTAATAGGTTGCAATTTTATTGGGCCTGAAGGAAAATCAAGGGTGAGGGCTCTCCGAGTTCCGCCCTTTACTGGTCTCTAGATCAGACCCTGAGGTCCCCACAGCGGGAAGGCCCTGGGATACAATGCAGCACTGGGATAAGGTAAGGGCAGGCACGCTGCTTCCCATGGAGGGATTTATAACTGAGAAAACAGAACTGTGAACAGCACAGGAAGTCCTGGGTCTGTTTTAGGATAACATAAAATGTACACTTTACTTAAATACAATATATTTAGAAGACTTAGAAAATAAGATACAAGAAGAGCTGGGCCAGTTTCCCTGGCTCTTAGGCTCTGGAGACATGACCAGCTAGCCATCTTTGTCCCTAGAGTGTACCGACTGTTCAGTGGGAATCAGGGATGACATGGGCCTCTAGAAGGACATTCTTTTATCTTTGGCTTTTTCCATGTGAATTTGAATGCTCCCTCACCAGACTTCCCGCAGAGACAGAGTGGGTTGATGGGCACAGCCCCCGCTGCTTAGACTGGCCACGTATTCAGACCAGTCCCAGCTGCCGGTACAGTGTGGGAGGCTGACCTGTGAGCTCCAACCTCACTGTAGCAGGACCGCTAAGCAGTCCCCTCCCCCGTGCTCACTGACCACCCCCTAGGTAGGCTCTGGGGTGGTTCTCCCCCCGTGAGCACCCTCCACGTGTTCAGGATCTTGGCCCCTGATAAGCCGTTTCTCTCTCAGCTTTAGCCAAAGCAGTTACACCCAAGGTTTTCTCAGCTTTTGGCTCATTGGGTTCTGCTTTGGCCATCAGCTTTCCTAAAGGCTGGGCAAAAGCAATCAGATTCAGGGAATCATTTTCTTTCTCGATTGGCCTTGCTGGGCAAGAGGCTGTTTGAAGGGCTTATTTTGCATAATGAGCTTTGACTCAAGGTGTACTGTCGCATTTGGGCAGCAATAAGGCAATACTACATTCACAATGACTTATAAATATTCTAATGCAGATATCTGCTTTTAGAGGCTTTATATTTAAAACCATGATTTTTCCCTAAGAAACACGTAAAAATGGCAAGGATAGTTAGCCTGGAAAAGTGACTAGGTTCAGAAGAATGCTTCACATTCCATCCAAGCCATCACGTATGTTGAAATCATTAGGGAATAGTCAGTTCTTGAGACTTGCTTGAACCTTCCTTGGACATGAAAGAGAATGTGACATGTGAAATTAAAGGAAAGGAACTTGTCTTTGGCTCCAGCGCTTCCCTGTCAGACACACATCCTAAGCTTACAAGGACTTCTGTGTATTAGAACAGCATGTTCAAGTAGAAAATATTTTACAGGATTCCAGATCGCTGTTGGTGTGATGCCACCGTCTGGAGCTCAGAGGGCACTGATGAACCACTATTGGAAGGATGGATGTTTTGTTATTTATTTTTTTCCAGTGGTGAGGATGAATTCTTCTTGGGTATTTCTTCCCTTGCTCTTATGAAAAGCAGAGTGTCTAGATAACTTGCTTGTGTTTAGGACCAAGAGGATATTGGCTGTCAAACTGGAGAAATCAGGTGCTAAATTTCCCACTGATCATCCAGCCCTTAACTTAGAATCATTTAACTCTGGCTTCTGAGTTTGAAACCATATAGTTCGAAAGATTAGGATCCTATTTAAAATAATAAATGAAGAGAGATGTGGCAGAGGGGAGGGATTCTTTTCAACTTTCTCACTTCCGAACTGGGTAGATGAGAAAGCCAGTTACACCATAAAATTAAAGCCAGAGCAAACTGTGCCAATTCCTTGGAATTAAAAATAATTTAATGCCAAATCCCAAGGATCCAGAGGCAACTGATCATGTTTATTCATGCTCTGGAAAATGGAATCACCACCCAAGAAGTCATGTTCTGATTTTACTCTAAATCCAGGTTCTTAAAATCTATTGCAGGGCTTAGGTGAACTCAACAAGAATCTAATAAAGCCAGGTAACTGAATGACACAGAGGCCAATAAAATTCACAGGAAATGGTGACGGAGATAAACTGCAGCAGGAGATAGGCTGGACTAATTGTGCACTTTTGATATAAATGAACTTTTCTAGAAGAGAAGTTGAGGCCTCATTTTGGACCACTTTCTGAAACTGCAGTGTGCAGAGTACCAGCCTAAAACACATAGAGTAAAGAATTTGAGTACTTTCAGGAGGAAATTAACTACATAGGGGCACATGCCCTAAAAATGGGGTGGGGATGATGTCCACGGGTGGGGCCTCTGTGTGCTGTAAATTGTCGAGCTGAGGTGACGGAGCAGGTGTGCTCGGCCAAAGTGGGGACGGGTGAGCGCTGACAGGGAGGGCAGAGTGGATAGTCGAGGTTTGGAAGGAAAGGGTTATTAGACGTGGAGAAGACGTTAAAGTGACAGTGGAGAAGTGAGTGGCCTAGCCCATTGCAAATCCAGACTGATGAACTGTCTAAGCCTGCATGTACGAGAGACACGGTTATGAATCAACCAGATGGGCCAGCCTTTGTTTTTTATCTGTACATGCCCAGAACAAATAGTGTTAAGCTAAATATATGCCTATGGTTAATTCTAACATTTGAATGGCCCTCTCTTTGTAGGTTTTTGTGAGTGTTAGGGAACTGGCAGTGTGCACCACAAGCTACATGTCTTCATGTAGAAGGAATGTTGATGGTTGAATTATCAGTGGTTACAAACACAGAGGCTTAATCCTAAGTGGGAACTGCAAGGCATCGCCTTCAGTATAATTGATAGCAAATATCTCTTGCACTTAGGAGGTATCTCGGTGTATCTGTCAAACAAGGAAGAGCAGTGCTGCTTCCATATTAGCCTGAAATGTATTAACTGTTCCCATTGTTGAATCTGTACTGTTTGAAAGACAAGTTTTTTTTTTTTTTGATTGCACGTGAATGCCTCAGAACGATTTCTAAGCTGTTAGTGTTTTCCTTTGAATTTTGGGAGGTGGGGAGAAAGTCAGGTTTTTATGCAATTATGCGAGAAGCGTCCTGAAATCTGACCTTTGTTTTCTATTTCTTTCTCCTTATATAGGATGATTATTTCAGAAACTGGAATCCCAACAAGCCCTTTGACCAAGGTAAAGGATGCACGATTTCTTGCTGTATGTTCCCTGGGAAATGCTTTCTCATTTTTCCTTCCTGGCATGCTGAGTTGCTCTTCCCACAGAGGCCAGCTTGCTGTCTTATTTTACTGACTTCGGGGACTAGTAGAGATTCTTTTATCAAATTGGTTATTTGTCTGCTACTAAGACAGATTAAAAGACATTTTTTGATTGAATTGACCACTTTAATCATTGGTTGGTATTGGAAGAAACAAACACTTAAAAAACCAAAATAGTAAAGTGGTTATCAGGCTAACCTGGTGGATTGTTGGGCTGAATCCAGTCGTTTCCCTCATGGAACAGACTATGCCTGGAGACGCTGTCCAGTTCACATGAGCCACAGACATGAATCTTTCTCTCTGGAAACAGGCTAATCCTGGGAGGCTTTCGAAGGCACTGATACTTCATTTGTTAAATAACTTCTTCGTGGTCTCTAAATGAAAGCTTGTTTCCGAGGCCACCCCCGACCACTTGGGGTTAAGCTGGGTCCTCAGGACCATTTCTGCTCACACCAGCAAGCACCAAGCCAGTCTCCTGATGGCCATCGTACATCCCCACCACTGTCCTCCTGTGGGTTGTTTAAGACACAGTGAGGCCCTGCTGTGAATTGTGCCTTTGCTCTTATTGTTCCATGTGTCACTGCTGTTCGCACAGGCTGCTGCCAAAATGCTGGTAGGTTGGACTTCAAGTCTGTGCCTGCAGTTAATGCTGGAACTCAGAGGGAGAACACTCCCTGCCAAGTCTCAAAGGTCCATACCTCTGAGAATCAGCGTCAGTTCTGTAGCTTGAGTGTTTAATGGAATCCTGATGGTCCCCTTGACACAAAGTCAAGGAAGGCATCGCCCAGTAATGTAATAGAAGGCGCCCCTTTCTGCCCTCTCCTTTGTCACTTTAGTGGGTCTCTCCATCTGGACTCTAGTTTTCTTATAAGCAAAATTGGCATTAAAATATCCACATGTACATTTAGCTTGTATCCTCCAGTAGTGTAGCATTTTATTCATTCATACATACCTACATTTATTCATTCTCAAACACCCATGGACCTAATGCTCATTCTCAAACACCCATGGACCTAGTGCTCTGTGTTCAAGCACCAAGGTGGTTGCTGGGGATAAGGCAAAAAATCTGTGGTGCCCGCCCAGGAGGAGCTCAGAGTGGGGAGTGGGGAAATAGCTCCGTCAGCATTTGCAGTAGGCTGTGCTAATGACTGTGATGCAGGTGTGTGTAGGTGAGTCTTTAGGTGGAGACTTGGTGAGCATGCGTGTGTGTGTGTAGGGGGCAGGTCCCAGGGAAGGCTTTCTTTTGGAGGACCTCCTAGGCTGTACGCTGAGTCTCCAAGGTCCACATTTTGACAACTAACAATGACTAAATCATCACAGGAAATCACACGAAGGTACTTGTAATTTAATCTAGAAATTTTCCATCAAAAATGGTCACAATTTCTAAAAAAATTCTTTTAAAAGGCTGTGCCTTCATGGGGAAGAACACTTAACACATTCACTGTGTGTGCCTGGTAAATGAGTCCTTCTGTAAACACCTCTACCAGGCTCTTGCTTATGGAGGTACTACCTCAACTGATGCTGGCTGTGAACTGATGCATTTGGCTCAGGTGCAGAAATAAGTTCTCATCCTGTAAGGATCAAATGTTGCCTAAATAACTGCGCAATTTATTCTTCCCTGCGGGCTGCAAACAAATACGACAACTTTCCCAAGGGAAAAAATGTGATTCCCATTTTTATTTTTCCTAATACACCTTGGGAAAGGTTACACAAGAAGGTCGGCATCCTTTGTCATTTGATACATGTAAACGATACATAGGATGTAAATGATAACTTCCTTTGAACCTGGTATTTAAATCTGCTTAACCAAAAAGCCGTATAGGGATTTTTCTCTCCAAAGAAGGTTGGCAACTGTATCCAGCAGTGTCCTGTCCTGGCTCCCTCTTTTTCTAGCTCTGCAGACTGGAGAACTGGGTCTGCTAAGATAAATCGTCCCGGAAAACTGCATGACTTCATGGGGTATAATTGAGGACCTTAGCCGAGAAGCCCCACTTTGTGCCTCAGGTGTAGCTGCCATTGGCTATTTATATACAGAGCCAGGGGGAGAGCAGGGAGGCCTGAGAATAGCCTTCACTTACAATGTCAGCCCCAGTAGATGTCATCAATTACATTGTGTGCTTCTCAATAAAAATGGGAGGTTACTAGATCGGCGCCGACACGGCTGGGTGAAATACAAACCACAGGCATGGAGGAGGTAGAGCATTTCATCTTCCAGAAAACAGGGGGATAGCAGAACTCCAGCGGAGACTGTCAGCTGCAGGGAGAAGTCATTTCCCCTCCGGAGCTGGAAAAGAATCAAACGTGGTTCAGGTGGTTTTGTGGTTGGGGAAAACTTCGGGTTGATAGAGATGGAACTCGTTGGAAAGCATTTTGGAGCTCCAGAAGACACATACGTTCTAGGATGGTGCTGAGGGAGGCTTCATGATGGAGTGGCTGTGGGGTGGGCATGACATGTAGGGAGGAAAGGGAAGGAAGGCCATATGTGGGGGATGCTGGTAAAGCCAGAAAGGTGGATTGGAGGCAGGTTGTGAAGGGCATTTCATACCAATCTGCGAGTTTACTCTTTGTTTTCTTGGCAGTGGGGAGCCATGGAAAGTTTTTGAGCACAGGAGTGATGTGATGAGAGCAGTACTTTACAGGACTTAGTTTGGTGGCTCACCAGCCATGGTTAGGAGCCTGAGACAGATCTGCTAAATGATGTCCCTCCTACAGAACTCCTGGGTTACTTCTCTTTTGCTCCATTCATTGCTTTGGAGCCCTGGGCTTTAGTCACAGAGAGTCAGACATCATCATTCAACTCTGTAGCTTGCCCTCTGAAATGCCCATGTAGCTCCTGATTGTCTTAAGTATTGGGGTGAATAGTAAGGGCACCCATAGTATTCAAGAAATACTTACCTGTTATTGTGTGCTCTGATGAAGGATATTTACTGAACTTTGAACAACAGGGCTTTATAGAGCCAGCACTTACCATATTACTCCAAGGTAGTTAGAAGAAAAGTTCCTCACCTGGAGGTCTCCTTCCACGAGACTGAACATGTCCTTAACTTGTTATCTTTAAGAGAATCATGAATACTTCTGTCAGTGGAGTGTAATAGCCAGCAACTTCAGGCTTTTCTAAGAATTCTTTCTGAGATTTGGGCAGAGTAGTGTATGCTTTTTGATTGTAATGATTTCATGCCAGATCTCCACACGGAAGAGAGAGACTTGAGTTTGGAATTGAAGGAACAATGATTAACTCAGGCGAGAAATTTCCTTTGTGAAGTCCACAAAGACTGACGCCGTGCAGGCAGCTGCGCGGGCTGCACAGTTGGCGAGGACACTGGGCAGAGGCAAGCAGCTCTTTGTTCTGTGTGGGCAGAGGGGCAAAGGCCCTTGAGGGGACCTCTGCAGGGGGATGGCCGAACCTGTAGGGCTCTGGAGTGATTCCAGAGTTTCGGGTGATCTCTGCCGCTTTGTCCTTTTGGCACCTTCCTTCCACTGGCCCCCTAGCCGACCTCGGAGCACAGAGTGGGTGTTGAGCAGACATGAGGTTATGCTTCTGAAAGTGACATCTGGTCCAGCAAGATGCTTCCTTAAGAAAACAGTCACCGTGCAGATTAATTTGGGACATACATATGCTCCATTCATCTCTTGGAGATTCACTGTGCTCGCTTTGAGAAGTCTTCTGGTCAAGAAGCCCAGTTAACTTACCTTTTTCTAAATTTGCCTTGGATCACATTTTTCTTTCTTTTTTCACCCTACTTCTATCAGGTACCCAGAGAAACTAGTGTATGCTGTGCGATACACTTTGCCAAGTGCAGTATGGGGTCTTGAGGTTTGTAGTCAGAGCCTCTAAATTTGGAACTTTGCCAATTACTAGCTGTGTGAGTTTAGGCAAGTTGCTTAACTTCTCTGATTCTGTGACTTCCCATATGGAAATGGCAACAATAAAATCCTTGAGAGGATTAAGTGAGTTAATGTTTTCACAGATAGTAAGAGCTCCCTAAGTGTTGTAATTGATAAGCCAGTAATTGATCTTGTTCATTCCCTCCTTTCTGTTTAGCTGCCTCTCCTTGTTGCCTCTCTCCCTCCACGCAGGTTTTCTTTCTTATATTTCCTTCTGGGGGCCTTCACAGTTGTCATGCTCTGAAGCTCCCAGGCTAAATTGGAGCTGGCCTGTCTTCTGGTAGGTGGGTCTTTGCATTATTCCACCCCATATCCTCATGATTGGGGCTGAAAAGGTTCAGGCTCTTAATGTGTTCATTCGGTCATTCATTCTGTGCACAATTACCAAAAGCTGATGTTTATCCCCCCTGTGCTAGATGATAGGGCCCACACTAAGGAGCGCCTCTCCTGGGACACTCGAGGTTACCCATCATTGGTTATCCATCCAGGCTCTTATAGGGGGCAGGAGGGAGGGAGCAAGAGCAAGTGCTGGTGAGGGTGGGGCTGCAAAAAGGGTGGTCTGGGAAACTGGGGAATCCATATGATGTCACATATTTACACAAGTGACATAGTCACTTTTAGTCGAGGTGAGATTTTGCTACCACTCGGCCTCACTCGTCTTGTCTGTGGAATGTGGATCGGTGCACCGCCAACCTCAGCTGGGCACCGTCCCCTTCAGGGCAACGATCAGGTGCTATTGTAGAGACTCTCTTTTCCCCTGGAGTTGGGTGGCTGATGATGACGTTTCTTCACAAGGCCTGAGGGGAGAGAAAGAGATCATGGATTGAACCCCAGCCCTGTGGTACAGAAATAAAAGGTAGTGCTTCGGGGGTTCACTGAGGGAGGGGACGAACAAGGAACAAAGTGAGTTCTAACAAGCAGTTTCAAAGCTTCTAGACCAGTCCTTTCTGAAAAAGAAAATTGAAGCTTATTCACAATGCTTTTGCTGAGTGAAAGGCTATCCTTGTTGTTGTTATTGCACTGGGTAGTTGG